ATGTTTTTACGTTGAGAGTACGGACCCCAGCCAATTATACTGTGGCTGAGAGACCAGATTTGTTTATACCTTTTTATGATACCCATTTTTTATACATGTACACGTTTTTACGTTTAGAGTACGGACCCCAGCCAATTATACTGTGGCTGAAAGACCAGATTTGTTGATACCTTTTTATGATACCCATTTTTTATACATGTACATGTTTTTACATTCAGAGTACGGACCCCAGCCAATTATACTGAGGCTGAAAGACCAGATTTGTTTATACCTTTTTATGATACCCATTTTTTATACATGTACATGTTTCTACGTTGAGAGTATGGACCCCAGCCAATTATACTGTGGCTGAAAGACCAGATTTGTTTATACCTTTTTATGATACCCATTTTTTATACATGTACAGTGTACATGTTTTTACGTTGAGAGTACGGACCCCAGCCAAGTATACTGTGGCTGAGAGACCAGATTTTTTTATACCTTTTTATGATACCCATTTTTTACACTTGTTTCTACGTTGAGAGTAGTGGACCCCCAGCCAAATATACTGTGGCTGAGAGACCAGATTTTTTTTTTACTTTTTATACACATTTTTACACACAAGTTTTATACACATTTTTTTTTTGAAACTCGCTATTTTAAATATTTAAAAAACATTCTTTGACATATTTAACAGGATTTCTCCTGCTTTTTGAAGCAGTCAACCTGAGGCTGAGAGACCAGATACATTTTAATACCCTTTTATGATACCTTTTATGATGCCCATTTCATACAAATTATTCATAAACATTTTTTAAACAATTTTTTTGCATATCTATAAAAAAACCTTTGGCAATTAAGTTTAATAGGATTTCTCCAAAAGAATTACCACTTTTTTCCACTCGTACTAGAAACTGTCGACTAGAAACAATTTTTACACCCATTTTTATACACCCATTCTTTATACCATTTCATACACAGTCTTATACACATTTTTTGAAACTCATTATTTTACATATTTAAAAAACCTTCTTTGACATGTTTACATGTACAGTTAAACTATTGTTTGCGATTTTTCCACTCCTTTTTTTGCATTTAATACCCATTATGCATTTAATACCTATTATGCATTTAACATATATCACCGAGCGACCAAAAACATTTTTATATCCAATTTTTATACCAATTTTCATACTAATTTTGTATACACATTTTTTTTAAAACATACGTTCTATTATATATTTATAAATAAACCTGTTTGACATGCACAAAATACATGTATTAATAATCAGAACGCGACGGGAGAGTTTGTCAATAAACAATAAAAAAATTAAACAAAAAACGCCGAAGTATGTTATGTCGCGCAAAGTATGTTATGTCACGCGGCTGGTCAGACTGGCCAATCGAGATCGTCAAATTAAACATCGACCATATTTCATCAACACGATAACTAGCAAGTCATGTGGGGGCGGGGTAATAAAACGGCCAGGTGTCTCAATTATCAGGAGCAATTATGTATACAAATCATCAAAATAAAACAGTCATATAACAAAGGCATTCAATACTATAGGCTAATGAAAAAATCAAATGACACAATAAAGTACAATAAAAATATCAACACACCTGCACGCCATTTCTTCCATCTTCGCCGTGCAACTCTCCCTCCTAAACAGGCTTCTTCTTTTTCTTCTTCTACTTCTTCTTCTTCCAGTACTGTACATACCTGAAAAAAATCAAATGACGCAATATTAACACACCTGCATAATCAATTTTCCATCTTCGCCGAGCGACGTTCCCTCCTAAACTGGTCTTTTCTGTGCTCAAATGATCACGTGACCTATAATGTGTGAAGCGGGAAAAATTGTCCGGGGTTTTTCGCCGTACTTCGGTCAACTCTGACCTTTTCATTATTGAAACAACAATAGATTTAACCAAGTGTTCTTTTGTTAAAATAAATATGGCGGGGTAAAATTCCAATCGCAACTTTTCGGCCCTTTCCGTCTGTTTTCGGATACGTATGAATACATAGGACGGCTACGGCATTTCGGTCTAACCTACGCTAAGAAACTAAACATGTAAACAAATAGTAATATACATTCATTAAGTTCTTTTACTTTCAAGTTAAATTTCAGATACTTAAGTTCTGTTTAACCGTGCCTTCTCCTACACATTACAATGCATCCTCTTACAAATTATTTTATGCTGCATTAATAAGTTAAACTTTTTGTATGACTCGACACACAAGAAACATTTACTAAATTGTCGCCCTTGCACATATTTTGAGAATAGCGTCAAGTTAGCGTAAAACAGACGTTAGCTCCGTTGTTTTCAATACGCTATACATTACCCACAAAGACAGCTGCTTTTTAACAGCGGAATATTAAAAAATATTTGATTCAGATTTCAGCTATTTAAAAGCGAAGACGGAAATGTTGTCTTTAAATTGTAGAAAAGGTATATACGAAATATTTGTTTTAAAAAAAAGAAACAAAGATGTTAGAGATTATTATAGTGGACATGTAGCTCTATTTAATGCAACAGGCTTACTGAAATCGATTTTCAAATGAATGTTTTACTCCGTTTATGTATCTTAATTTATTTCAACGAATCAAGTAATATCTTTCTGCAAAGTAATTTTCTAAAAATGAAAATTAATTTTCTTCTAATCTCAGAATTGCTATACCAGTCAGAGATTGTCAGGACAACAGTGAAATATTTTGTCATTTCAAACACAGTGATGGCGTTGGAGACGGTCATGACAAAGATGTTAATAAATCAGATGTTGATGCTGATCAAGGAACGGATTCGAAGTTGATGCTTCGTATCACGGCATTGTAACCTACTAGTATGCCAGCGTTCTAGAAAAACAAAAAGCTGGAGCGTCGGGCCGAAGAGGAAAGGAAAATTAATTGTAAAGAAATCCGTAAGAGTCGATGAAGGAAACATGGCACGTAAGGTAGATAACTTGTTAAGTTAATTAAAAAGCTAGAAAGCATGCGGTGAAACGAACCCGTTCATATTACGAGTTTTGCAACAGTGTAGACACGTAGAAAACCCGAAAGTCTACATCAAATATTCCGAAAGGGGAGATGGTGTGCAACGCGAGGGGTTTTACAGTTTTTGGTGTTAGACCAGCAACTTTTAAATGTAAAAGCCGGAAACGTGCCATTATTGGATATGGCTTACATGTTTCCAGCAGAAGTCACCTGCAAGAATATATTCAAACAATATCTTTAGCACATGATGATATGCTACGCCAAAAAAGCAAACGACAATTTTCGCCATATTTCAACTGCTAGCAATGCATTGACATGTCCAGATCCGAAACCATTTGAATGTGTCAAATTTAAGCCCGAGTTGTGACGTATAGTTACAAAAGACATGTCAATGATCATAAAAGAGAGACATCTGCATGTAAGATATTCAAGAGCCACTATGCACGTGCATTCACGAACGCCAACATTGTCTCTGCCATTTAAAGGAATACACCCTTTCATGCACTGGATAGACTTAATCTATAAATTTCATATTTCCGTGCCTGTCAAATGTTCAAACAATAATGTTAACTTACCCGCAGAAAAGTTTTCAAACTGCACAAATCCATCATGGAGAAATACAAAAAAAATCAGCAGACGACAATTGTTATGGATACCGTTTACTTCCGGTATACTGTCTGTTGACATTGAAAGATTCATTTGGCATTATTCCACATTAAACCTTTGTATAACAAGTACGCGATTAAGTTTATGCTTTCAAGACGTATTTCTTTTGGATACTTTAAACCTAAGCAAAAACATTTGCTCACTACAAACAAGAAACCATCAAGCAGATCGCCTAATAATAATAATAATAATCCAGTTGGTGAATTTTCACGGTTCTCAAAACCAATCCTTGAAGACGAGCACGCGACAACCTATATGCCAGCAGTAGCAGACGATCAAAATAATTGCAGACGACAAGCAAACAACGGGATATGAAAGAATCATTGACGGATCCTTTTGGAATAATGTCTGCTTACTGTAACAGCGAGATTCATTCTAGTTTTTTTTTTAAATTACTAAAATATAATTCATTCACAGAGCTAGACTATTTTAAACACAGCTATAATATAGTATTTAATAATAACTAATTTTAATATGTTGTATACAGACAATAAAAGTATTACATAACTCATTTTAGATACAATTTATGCGTTTTTTATTACGTACGGCGACATTGTATTTTCCCTCCACATGTACTATTCCATTTTTTTTTACAGGTATGACATCTCTCTAGCAGACGACACGTAAAATTGGAAACAATATGGCATTTTTTATAGCTTATTGTAATAGTTTTTATTTGTTTGGGTCGTCAGACCAAACAAATAATGGTAGCGAAATTTCAGAGTCTAATGCTGTTAATTGCAATGCCAAAGTAGGCCGCTTTTTTTGAAGCAATTACTTCCCTTTATATGTACACTAACGACGAAAAAATTCAGGGGAGATCACTGCGTAAAGATGATCAAATGACAGGCGCTTAATTTTCAAGCAAAATAATTCCCGAATGGTCGAAGATTTCTAATATTGTTTTATCCTTTATAGATATACATGCTTATAATAAGCTCCATGATTATTAACATCTGTGTTAAACAACAGTTAGCGTCGAAATAATAAGGGTTACAAACCCTAATTTAGAATAATATGGTTTTCTCCAAGCCTTTTACATATAACTTCACCGTGGCCGAGGGGTCTAGAGTTCAAATCCAGGAAGGCAACTCTTTTTTTTTTTCAAATTGTTTAAATCAAATAAACATTGACTTGAATATCAGTGTTGCAATTAGTCCTAAAGCCAATTAACTACAATTAAAACGCTGGAAAGCACTGGTGGCACTATACAAAAACAAATTGGTTTATAATCTCACAACCTTCACCTTTCTGACATTCTGAGACCCAAACAAATTCAGCGCCTTCTGTGCTTTGATTAAAATGTGTCAGAATGAAGTTTAGCTGTACAACAAAGTTGTAACATATAACAACAAATAGTGCATTGTACCTTTATTAAATAAGCAACACCACTAAATTTAAATTTATATATGCCATGTATAATAGTATTAAAATAAGCAAACATTTCTGTTAAGCAGAAATATAAACAACCATTAAAACTGACAAATTAAGAAAGAAGTACATGTAATTAGGAATACTGTTTAACAGAAACTAACATCACTGTGTACAATATAAAAGGGGAATAACTCTAAAATGGCAAGTGCAAATTTCATGAATAACAATCTATGTGTATTAATAGGATAATGGTATTGCAAATGTTCAAATAAATCTGATATTATGTGTTGGAATGTAATGAAAAATAAATGCACACACACACAATGAAAATGGAAAGACTGATAGATATAAAAAAATATCCTGAAGCATTGTTACTATCAATGTATGCCCTTATAGGGAGTACAAAACATAAATAAAAAGATTATGCAGAAGTAAAAAAAAAAAAAAAAAAAAAAAGAAGTAAATCTGTATTATGCAAAGGTAGTATGTAGATTATATAAATCAAAAGTTTAAGCAATCAATGTAAACATTTATGAATAATTACATGTATTTCATTGAAATGTATATCAAGAAAAATTATGCCCAACTGTTTTTTGGTATGGATTATATTATCACAAATAACAAACATCTTTTTTAAAAGATGATGTAATAACTCTCTCTATAGCAAACTGATGAAAATAAAATACCAGTCTATGATAAGCTGATAAAAGTTATTTCACTACTTTATCAACTTACAAAATACAGAATTCATAATTGATAGCAAAAAACAAAAACACACATTTGAAACAATCAATTATTCTTTGACCTGCTGCCAGTAACTGAATATACTAATGCGACCATTGCAGACCAAGATCAGCCGGCACAAAAATGCTATCTGATCTTGTTCTGCACATTTGCTTTTTAGTCAGAAAATATTATTTAATTATTTTTTCTGTACAAGTTTTTTTTCTTGACTGAAAGATGGACAAGTCCATTGAAGTGATTTAGTGTGGTTTATTTATAAAGGGTCAACTATAAATATAATAAAGACACAATTACAAATATTTGGGGTTAAAAATAGTCCTTTTGGTAATTTAATGAAAATGATTAAACATACATTCAGCCACATTTAACAACACAGGTCAAACTAGCTTGAGCATCTATAAGCCTTTTAATAACAAGAATTTTGCTAAGTAAAAAATCCAGAAAAACCAGTACATCAAAATACAGTGTCTATTTTTAAAATAAGCATTAAAATTAATGGCAAAACACCAGACTTATTGTCTTTCCCTTTTTTTTGTTCTAAATACTATTGTTTCATCTACTGAGTAATCATAAGTCTAATGGAAAAATGAATTGCATTTATAAACATATAGAGTTCTCATAAGATTTATTTATATTCAAATAAATCACAAACATAATCGTTGTGACAAAATTGATATTATTGATAATGTCATTAAGTTCACTTTGCCCGGACTCACTTTAAAATTATTACAGGGTTTGTTGGCCATGAAATCAAGATCTAAATGGCTATGAACTCAACTGGAATAACATTTCATCGGCTTTAAAGCAACCTTAAAGCTTTTTGAAAGGTTAAAGATCCTGTAACCCAAATTTTTTATGGTTTTATATCATAAATATGATGCTCAAATGAAGATTTATCAATATTGTAAGTTTCAAAACGCATTATTTTTAAAGATATTAACGAATTTACATTTCATGTTAATAAAAGGAGGTAATTAGAAATTCATTTTTGATAAAGTCTAAGCCAAATTTTTCAAAAAGAAATGAATGCCCATATTTTAATGACTACTTATAATACATATAAACATTTGCAGTACATATTTAACATATTCTTGGATGTTTGGAAATTGTTTTAGAAGACAAATTATATACATATATAAAATTTCACATTAGTGTTGTTACATACTTACAACATACAGGATTTCAAATATGTTATTTTAAGACAAATCGTTTCATATAATTTTCAAATCAAAAGAATTCAGGTAGAAAATGAAATATGTTGTCAATGAAACATATAAACAATAAGGTAACCCCTTGATACCTCTAATCTCTACGAGTCCACTCTCTATATGTAAATTAGTTAAGTGGACAATTCACTTCCCGATTTTCTATTTTTAGAAACAAACTTCACTGATATGCTATAAATAGCTCTTCAGACACTGTTTTGAAAAAGTCTTAACAATAATATGATGCGCTTTTCCGAAATAAATTACTGAAATACTTAGTTTGAAACAACAAAGAATTGATTTTCCAACAAAAAAATAAAAGCTACAGGCTGCTTTAATAGTTCATCTAGAAAAGGTTAATTCTAAGAAATGTAAGCTTGAGTCACCTTTTTCCCCATCATGTCACTTTAAGTGATAACTTTCAGAGAAAAATTTTCACATCATTCATCATCATTAATTACATGTACTCACTTGGTGGTATTTTTCAATGATATAAGCAATCTATATTTTCAATGATGTAAGAGGTTTTAAGGCATCACCAGTAAAAAATCATAAAAAGATAGTCAAAAGAACACTTAACCAATAAGTAAAATCTAAAAGAAAAGGGAGTAAAAAATAAATTGTAAATAAACAAAAGGTTTTAACAAAAGTCATAGAACAATAACATGTATTTTCATAACAACACTTAAGTCTGTAAGATGACATTTTAATCAACTTATTTATCTGTACCATTAAAATACATATATTTGGGTAAGTAGATCTAACTGAGTAAGACAAATTAGATGAGCTGCAATGCCTTGCTGCACATATAAGGGTGGGTTTTTTGTTGTTTTTTTTATTCAATTCATCAAAAAGAAAGATTATAACATTTTTGAAAACATGTGCATACAAAATACTGGAATATACTTTTATATAAGAGGTATCTCAATCACAGAAATAAATTGCAATAAATAAATGTACATAATATCTATGAGGTTTCATCTTAACAAGGTTATATCTTAACTAGTTAGGACAGCATTGCTTTGAAACCATTCTCAATGCTGCTGCATGAGATATATCAATTCATGTTTTTATGAAAACTCATGTATAAATCTTTTAAAAACAAATCATCTACAAAATTCATATTCATTCCTTCTCTAGTATATGTAAATAAGAAAGCAAGAACATGTGAGTCGCGCCATGACAAAACCAACATAATGGGTTTGCCACCAGCATAAATCCAGACCAGCCTGCGCATCCGTGCAGTCTGATCAGGATCCATGCTGTTCGCTTACAAACCCTATAATAAGTAGAGAAACTGATAGCGAACAGCATGGATCCTGATCAGACTGCGCGGATGCCCAGGCTGGTCTGGATCCATGCTGGTCGCAAACCCATTATGTTGGTTTTGTCATGGTGCGGCTCATATATGTGATTGATAAACACATATGCCCCCCTCCCCCATGCCTAAATTCATATCAGTAACCAATTTACCAAACAAGGTTTACCTGTAACCATCCCCTCAGTTAGGGAAGAGGTGATTGCTCAAGAAAAATTGTTAACACAGTTATATAACTTGACTGAATAATAAACTCTTTGTTCTTGTAAAAAAAATGCAAATTGGCAAGTGACGTCTTTTCTATCAAATGACGTTGTAAAATATTCAAATTTCCATTAAAGGTTAATAAAATATACATAAATGCAAGACCTTGAACCCAGTGACCCCAAACTCCAACCTAACATAAAGGACCATCTAAGGTATTAATGGGAATAACCTTGAAAATATGAAAGAATCATTCAATAAATAAAGGTTGTACCAGCAAAAGAGTAAAATCTATTCTTAGCAGTAACCTTCGGTGACCCATCAGTCCACCCAAAGTTAGAGGAATGTTCTAGACATCTACCACATGAGTAAGTATATAATTCTAAGTATATTTTTTTAATTACCCTTCATTACCCTTTGCAGATTTTTCCATTTTAAGCGCTTCACTTGATTCATATAAAAATTTCAAAATTTTATATTTTTAGGCATTTTGACCTCAGAAGAGCTCCTTGAAAATGTAAATTATAAAGCCATTTATACAAATCTAACATAAGAAATATCCAGCTTGCTTGTTTAGGATAACCTTGTGCAGACTAAAGTTCTTGCTAAGATGATGTTATGGGGTTATTTTGTCATCTTCTTTGATCCCTAAAACCCTATAGGCAAATTCTTTTTATCCCATAAGCAACTGTTTCACAAGTATAGTCTGTATTGAATTAACACAGACATTAATCCCATAATGCCACCTGAGTGCATACAGACTGACAGACGCATGATTCAATTACTATATACTGTAAGGTATAAAAATACATGTATAAACAAAAGTAAAATAATCTTTATCTTGAGTATAACAAATAAAGGTTTACATCATTAAAATGGTTTCATGAAATAAACTTGAAAAATATTTAATGGTTTAGCGGACAAGCTTATAGAATATCTGTAAATGTCTGAATAAACTTTACAGACATGGTTAAAAAAGTTTGATTTTCAAAATGAGGACATTAAAAGGGATGCTTTATTAAAGGTCTGGTGGAATTCACTGGAGAACATTTACATGTCACAACATGAGGTAAAAAGCAAAATTTTGCTCTAAAAAGATGCTTATCATACAATTCTTTAACCCTAAATACAAAAGAATCAGCTACCAACAGATAATATTCAAGCAATAAAAATTAAGCTTTTTATCTGATTATTGAAAATGACTAGTTAAATTTTTTCTTAACGATAAATGTTAAAGTGTATCATTCAAATACACATATATCCATGTTCAGTTGTATCCTCTGTGATTATGTGTATCTTCCTAAAACAAGCATCTGCATAAATGATGGTACCTGAAATATGCAAAAAGTATTATTGAAGATAAAGCAATGAAAAATGTTCTCACAAAATGAAACAAATTGTAAGAAATCAAAGCTCTGTCATTTATTTTCCCATGAAAATCATTTGGATTTTTTATGAATCAAAATATTCAAATTACCTTTTCCAAGTTAGATTTCTATATACATATTTTAATAAACATCCATAAAGTTTTTGAAGAAAATAAAACATATAAGTAAATGTACATTGTGTTGTACCATTAGAAAAGACTAAAATTATCAATTCTACAGACAGAACAGATGCACATGTTTCACAAGTAACTACAGATGAAACTCTACTTTAGACCATCCTTAATTAAGACCAGCCCCCTATAAAAAGAGCAATTTTTAAAAGAACATAATGTTCTGTTCCGTATTTCAGTGGAATAATGATCAACCTTTAAGTCCAGCCTGCTTATCTGACCCCATTACTGATAATCCAATCAATACCTATTTTGGAAACAAGATTTATCCACTATCCCTCAAAAATGACAAAAAATCCAAACATCTAAAGTAGGAGTATCAATCAAAGATATTATAATTTGCCCTGATAAATGTTATGACTTTTGCCAAAAGAATTTTCAACATTTGTTTTTTGTTTATCAACAACATATATAAAAATAAAATGCACAGTCTGATCAGGATCCATGCTGTTCGCTTAAAAACCCTATAACAAGTAGAGAAACTGATAGCGAACAGCATGGATCCTCATTAGACTGCGCGGATGCGCAGGCTGGTCTGGATCCATGCTGGTCGCAAACACATTATGTTGGTTTTGTCATGAAGCAGCTCAAATGTAAATAAACACACCTCCTCTGGGTCATCTAGAGCTTGTAAAATCATTTTCTCAATATTTCTTGTCATGGCCATCTTCTGCTGAGCACTGAGTGGATGCTCTACCTTATCCACTGACCTTGACTGAAATACACAAATATATTGAATAAGTTTTTTATGTGTCAATAAATTAAAACTATATATATCAAATGGGAAAATAGAGTTTTCAAAAATAAAACTGTTAAATAAATATGTTAAAAAGAATTGGTCTATAATGGAAGGTGTGTAATACAATAATGAAACTTGTGTTATACAAAGAATGATTAAGTTGAAAGTGTAGCAGATAATAAAATATTTTAGAACACAATATTATCATTCACCATATAAATGTTCTAAATAATTTAGAACTAGAGTAATACTCTATCACTTAGAGTATCCAAATGATACATTTCTATTGTTTTATATCAATATTTGAAATATATGTGAAATACTTATGGAAAATGAGCCCATGGTAGACCTATCAGCTTTAAATTATTGTAAAAATATTCATAATCCATGTAAAGCTTTATAAAGTTTACATGTTATAATGCATTCACTGGTGTTCACAGACTGAGTGAGAGTTTGGTCCACTTAAAACGCCATCCTAAAGAAAAACCTGAAAAGACACGTATATGTATCTGCAAAAGTTTCTAGGAATACTGTATAGAGTATGAAAAGTGCCAGCTAGCATAAGGAACGTTGCTGGTTTTCCTGAGGTGCCTATTTGCGCCTGAAATAATTCACGGAGGGGCACCTGAGGTTTTCATCCATCAGTAAAGTTGGAAAGTCGCCATATGACCTCTACTGTGTTTGGTGTAACGTAAAACCCAACAAAAACAGTTTTCAATGAACCTCTTGCAAGAAATTTCACAACAAATAAATCTTACCATGTACCAAAAGTTGACAGATATCGTTTCTCCTTTATCTTTTAAAGATTCTACTTCATGCCACCTAAATAAAAGTCAAAATATTGTACAAAAGCATGGTACAAATGTAAATACATGTATCTTAAATGGACTTGTGCATTTTCAATCTGTATGAACCATTTATTATTTTGAGGGGAAATTTTCAAATTATGTACTAAATGAATAGGGCAGTGCAGACCATTATCAGATGTGCCAAATAAATTTGTTTGCAATGGTTGCATGGGCATAATCAGTTGCCGATAGCAAGCTTAGGGTGAAAGCCTTTAGTTACTTTATAGTCAACTATTATGAAAGCTATGAAACATCATTATAATATTCATATGTATTGGTATACAAAATTCTACTATATTATAAATTACATCATAACTAAAGTAAAGATTTGGAACACAAAAGTTTAACTAAACCATAACTGAACTTTCTATATATGTTTTCTGTAAGCTAGCTGAGATACCTCCACTTATGTTAGAATGGGGAACAAATTGTATGACTTGAACCCAAATATAATGTAAAGCAGAGAGGGGCAGTCCTGATAATCTGTCCTGCTTGAATTTTACATAATACACACTTTCATAAGTTTCAAAGTTAAATCATTAGAAAAAATATTTACCTGTATATATTTACTGTTTTATTTTAAAACAGGTAAAAAAAGGAAATTAGCAATAAAATGCACAATGTACAAGCAAAAAAATGGATTAAATCAATACAGTGATGGTGCAGTACCTATTAGACGCTTGCAGAAATCACAAAGAAGAACATTCCTTTTTTTCTGCTGATTCTTACATTTTTCATTCATTATCTTATATACATGTAACCTGGTAAGAACAGATGTATTGAGACATCTTAGGGTGAATTTTAGAGGGTGAAAAGGAGAGATTTAAGCATTTAACCATTCAAGAGCTTTGTCTGGTATATACCAAATACAGTATTTAGTTTTATTTTGTTAATCCCACTAAAAAAATTTCAAATCTTAGAAACACATATTTAACAATTTAAAAATTTTGGAAACACATTAAAAAACTCAAAAGATTTAATATCAAATTAACGCACAAAAAAACCCACTATAAAGCAGTTAAAAAAAGTTCAGGTTGACAACTTACCAATACATAGGAATATATAGAACATCTCCTGGCCCGACAATGCCTTGATAACCAGTCAAATTACGAGCATTGGGAAACTTATCAAAGTCTGGACAGTCCAAATTGACCTATTTAATATACAATCTTGTACTGAGACTAGTAGTACATGTAAGCCCAGTTAAAGCTTCATGTCTCTAGAGAGCTTACACATTTATTTTTGAAAATCAAAATAAAAGAAAAAGTCAATTAATTGTTTCAAAATGTACAAAAAATCATAATCACAATCACGGTGGTGTGTTCAAAATGTGACAGAATTTAATATTTTTATCACCATACATGTATATGTATGTCTACTCTGTAACCAACAGGTACACTGGAAAGTTAATAAGTTTTGAGTTGCTTGTTGTGTGTCAACTAAGGCTCCCATGTTTACAATTTTTGTAAACGTTTACACGATTGCTAAGAACCGAAACGATACAGTTTAAACGGTGGTACGTTTATGTACTATACTACACTATGTATTCAAGTCGCTAAAAGATGACATACTTTCTATTTTTGATACATGTACAAATAAACAATGTTCAGGGCTCATCATGATTGTGTCGGTACACCTTTTCTGCAAAGTATCCCATTTCGCTCTATTGAAAGATCAAAGGCAAATCAACTTTACAAAAAATGTATTATGTCACAAGCGATTATTACAAGGTGATGCTGTGTGGAGTGTTGTTAACACCCATTTTCAGTTTTTACTTTGGAATAAACCAATTAGAATTGATAAAATCCATGATTACAGGCAATGATTAAGATATTTTGTAAGACAATATGGTAATTTCGATTAAACGGTAAAAAATATCGTAAACGTTTACAAATGAAAATCGAAACGAATCCGTTTAAACGTGTAACCGTGGGGGCCTTAGTGTCAACACTATCCTGTCACCTGTTATATTATTTTTATATTTAATATTGTAATCCATAAAATTAACAAAATTCAAAGTTGGGCAAATCCTTTATACAAATTCAGCAGGGCAAACGTTCATTAATTCCTAAATAGATGTTATCCAGAACACAGCAAATATGGGTTTTTCCCGGCTAATCTGTAGGTACAAACAAACTTTTGCTGTTATTAGCTTCACTGTGCACTACCTGTCGCAACAGATTGTTTGTACCTACAGATTAACTGGGAATAAAACGTAATATTCTTAATTCGGAGTAAGTCTATTTTTTCTGTTCAAAACAACTTCAGCTGAACTTACCTGACTTTGTCGGTCATGTGGATGATATACTGGATATGGATAGAGGTTTTTATACTGGTCTGGGTGAAATAATTTGAATCGTTTATGACCATAAATCTGAGCAAAAAAGTTCTCTTGCTCATCATAGTGAACAGGAGTTACGTTTCCTGAAATAAAAAAAAAAAAGTTAAAGTTAAACTCGCACAAATCAAGACACTTGTAAAATGTTAAGTCCAGCAATTAATTTGTAAAAATATGTCCACATAAGTACATTTAAACTTCAATACTTATTTAGATTTGAATTTGAAAAAAATATTTATATTGTATCTATCAACATACATACAATAATACAACATTAAAGAAGAGACAAATTTACCTTCTTAACTTACCTTCCATACCAACCAATAAAAGATTTGATGTTAAAGGTCCCCAGTTGTTTAAAGTTTGCTGTTCTGTTAACCAAGCCCAATTGAAATTCACAAAATCATAAACAATTGTCTTTTCTACAGAGTCATTTAATGCCTGTTGTAAATAAATCCTGCAAAAATAAGATTTATATTGATATAATATATTTATGATATAAAGCTTTAAAACTTCTTCTAAAATTGTATTTAGTAAAACTTATCAATTTCCACTCCAGATCATTACAAAATAGTTCAAAATGCAGATCTTAATGTTAACTTATATTAAAGCTAAAATATTGAACCATGTTGTAGATACATAATAATTTATACCTTTTATGGAAAATATGCTAAAATATCAACATTTCTTTTTTTTTCATATATAAGTAAAAGTTTAAAAGTAAAATTTGTGTGCAAAAGTTTCTGTCTTGAGAGACCACAAGGTTCTATCAACAATATTTCCCCCTGTTTGTTTGAGTTATATTTTACAACTCACATCAAAATTAGGAAAGTAATATGCTGACTTTCCAGTGTTTATGGCAGAGGAAAGCCTAAGTGCTCCTTTTTGTGCATTTCTATATGCACAAGCAGGAGCCTGAGTATAACCACCAAATGACTGAAAGTCCATAATCTTGGCAACAAAGATTCCTCCATTTGAGATTCATAATCATATTACTGTATGCCTCTCCGTGCGCCACCAAAGATGACTTGTATACTGAGTATATTACCAAAGACACTTTTAATGTCTGATTTTAAATAACACTCACTTTTCACTGCAGTCTCTTTCCTTCTGTTTTCTTTTCAGCAATGCAGCAAAGTCTTTGAATTTCATTTCCATCTGCACAGTTGGTGGTCTGAACTCTTTAACCATCTTGCATTTCTTGTCACTATAATATTTAAATTTGTGGGAGTCTGATTTGTACACAGTAAAGTTACCATCTCCAATATGATCTGCTAGGTAATCAAGACTCCAGTGAAGAGCTGAAGCCACTAGGTTTGTGTCTGTAAGTATTACAGGTTCCTGAAACAATACATGTATATATTTATCATGTCCATCACTTTGGTGAGTACATTACTGGCATGCAAGTAGTTCCAGTACAAAAGTAGTAATCATAAAATGGTATTTTTTCTTTAAAGATCCTGTAACTCAAATTTTTTTATGGTTTTATATCATAAATATGATGCTCAAATGAAAATTTATCAATATTGTAAGTTCCAAAAAGCATGATTTGTAAAGATATTACTGAATTTAAATTTCATGTAAATAAAGGAAGGTTATTAGAAATTTATTTTTGATAAAGTATAAGCCAAATTTTTCAATAAGAAATAAATGCATACATTTTAAAGATTACTTATAATGCAAATGATACATATTTAACATATTCTTGGATGTTTGGAAAGTGTTTTAGAAGAATAATTATATACGTATATAAAATTTCACTTAATTGTTGTTATATCCTTGATAATTACAACATACAGGATTTTTAAAATATTTGTTTCAAGTTTCAACATCTGTCATATCAAAGGCACTCACTGCATGTAGTAATCATGCAGTTTAGAACACTGATTGGCTGAAAGAACTGTCAGACGAAATATATGTCACTTTTGGAACATGTTTCACCTAACTAAGGACATTTTTTTTGTCTGTAAATTATGCGTGACCTAGACTGACCTCAGAGAACTTTAAATCTAAGTTACACAATATTTTTCAGCATTAATGGCAGTGAGCTACCAAAAAGGATTTTAAACTTTAAAGTTTGGATTATTTTTATTCTCTTTATTATTCATACTTTTAAACATTGCTGTAGGAATATTGCTGTAATGAATTTTTTTCAAAAATTGTGAGGAAAGATTACTAGTGTCCAATTTTTGCACCAAAAAGAACCCTAATAAACACTGGATAGTGGATAATATATGAAAATTTTAATAAACTAAACTTATGAAAACCTGTTTCATAGCTACAGCCCACTATGCCAATCACCACATGTTTGAAGTACAAACCACTTGTGAAATGAATCTATGATAATTACATTTCTATTTTGATTTTTACACCTTAACATATTATGAAGTCAATGTATGACATAAACTTATTCAAGGTTGTTTTGTTTAGCCAAAACATTTTTGAAACACATCGCAAATATGTTGATGGACTGACCATACAAAGAAAGAATAATGTACAGGATTCAATGGAATAAATTATACCAGCGTGATTTTTTTTCTTGAACTTTGCTTTACAATTATTTGTTTGGATTTTATGCTATTAATTCAGATTTGTTTTTCAATTTACACAGCAATCAGGGATCCCAATAGGATCACCTGCTAGGAATCACAGGATTTCCTCCGGACTTTATGGGATCCTCTGAATCCCATGATCCTGGTAGTGTCAAACCCTGATAACGCCTTTTGTATAGGAACAACAGGCATGCCAGTAGTGGTGCTCCTGTTGACTGTAAAAATTCAACTTGATTTTTCACATGACACTGTTTATCATTTTTAAAAAGAAATATTTACTTGATTTTGACATTATGATTGTTTATATAATTGTGCTCTTTAAATGCAAATAAAACCATATGTTGTCCTTTCCAAACAATTTCTATCTACATCTTCTGATCTATGGATAAAATATCCAAGATATCACAAAAACCCCATCAAAATAAAATTTGGCAATTATCTCATACATGATGAAGCAACATATATTGAAATCATATTGGCTGGATATACACAGGTAATAGCTGTCCTCCAGAACTTCTTTACATTTAATAAGTCTCAGAGATATTTTGATCGAATTTTAGGAAATTTATGGTACGAAAGAATAAGGGTACGAAATAAGTTTAATAAACCAAGCAATGTAATCAATATATATTATTGAAGCCTTTTACCGATTTCCTTATCATTTCTAGTGCTTTTCGATCATTACAAGAAAGTCTTGGAATATCTTTCAGAGGAAATGCGTATGAGGTAGCCGATGACAATCTACTTTCACTTTGGTTTTCTTCCGTAGCCATTTTTCAGAGTTGTCGTTCCTAACCAGGAAGTCTATTCTATTTCCCGTCTGATATGGTTCACCGGACAATTCTGTCAGGTCGCGGTCTCGACAATTACTTAACACTCAAAATAGCTGACGTTATAGAAAATGGAAAATTTGGACTAATTTTTAAAGACAAAATAAAAGTAATGGAGAGCCGTGACCTAGTGGTTTCCCGGTCAACAAAATGCATATACTTAAAAGCATTCTAAAACACAGTTCTTTTTTCAACTAGTGGAAAACGGGTTGCATTTTGCTGGTCATACAGAGGACACACAATATACTACAAGAGTCATATATACTAAAGGATACAGGAATATTTTGTTCAAGTAGATCTCAGTTCAAATCAGCTGTCAATGTTCCTCTACTGGTCTTTATTAATAGATATAAATTAATTCATCAGTCACACTAATGTTAGGTAGTACTATTAGTAATAAAAATTTGTCAGACCATTGAATGTATATTATTGTACTTGAATATCGAATGAGTAATTAGTGTTTTTTTTTGTTTTTTTTTAATACTGTTTTATTTATTTACTTCTTATTTTAACATTACTATGCCTGTGTTATTTGTTTTTCCAATAATACGAATTAAGCTTTAGTTACTTTATTGTCTTCATTTCTACCATACAATACACAATTTGTTGGTTGATATATTTTGTTTCATGCCTTATGTTTTATGCTTGTGATTATATATGTCATATAGTATGACCCTTGATTGGTGAAATAAAATTATTCTATTCTATTCTATTCTATTCTATTCTATTCTATTCACTAGCTCCCTCGGAAGCATTAATCACAACAAGATTACAAGAGAATTGCAGACTCGGATTCATTGAGTTTGTACATGAGGGATAATGAATAGTGCAACATCCTTCAAGCCCCCCTAGAACCGGCTTGAGCGGTACTCAATTCTCAAGTCAACACTTAATAGTGCTGGCATCAATGATCCCGAAGGACCAGAAAAATATAACAACACTAGAGTGAAGTACGGGGCAACTTTTTAAAGCTGCCACACAGCACTTAACACCTGCTGCAAGAACTTGTCTCTCAATCGATTTTATATTTAAAAAGTGAATATGAAGCAGATACCTTATCCAGTAGATTAATGATATCATGGAGATTAATTAGATTGTATATATGTCTGTGATGATATTAAAATAATCTTACCACAGCTTCTCAATTAATGATGAAAATAACTTTATAATAAGTTATATTTCCCATCTAAAATTCATTGATGTAGACGTATAGAATTTTATGTAAGTAGAATCTATTTGATATCCATACTCGTTGGAGAATAAAGACTTATAGTTTACCTCGAGTAAGATAGTTCGCGGGAATTTGGAAGAAAGAAAAATGTTAGAAAAGCAATGTAAAACTTTCTCTCAAGTCCTTTTCATACAACGAACAATGCATTTAACATGCAAAGGCAGTTCACAGAACTGCACGAATTCGAACATAGTTGAATTGTCTCAAGCGTGTCCGTGCATTTCCGCTATTAGCATACGTTACTGAACCATTGCAGACGCCACTGAAACAAGCGACAATTGACGCATGCGCGGACATTTTGCCGCGTTTAATTGACACGCTGTGCACGGCAAAATGAACTCTGTACGTAACAAATATATCGACCCTTGACACATGGGTTGCGATCGCACACTATTTATTTTGATATAAATGACAGTTTTATGACAGCAAATGATTATTTGTTTTTAGATGCATTAGCAAGGTTGGGAAGAGATGTGCCAGTGATCAGTTAAAGTTAGCTTTCAACGGTTTTTGTCTGTAACATAATCATATATTTTTATACAGTACACAGAATTGATACACAGAAATAATTATGCATTTTGCTTTTTTAAAAATGTTATATAAAACAGAAGCAGACTTGTCCAACACCATGTCCAGTTTACATAATTTTCAATAATTGGAAATTATCAGGACACGTTTCTCTATTTTACTTTTTACACACCATACGCACAGTCGTACAAAAACGTTGGGTATTTCTGAAAATGACTGAATATAACAAAACTTCGTTAAGTTAATTTCATAAAAACTTGGTCTGTAGAATATAGAGAATTGTACCAGGAACGTAAATATCACCCTGATGATATTTTAATTACAATTTTCATCGACCAACGTAGATGAAATCACTCATGTAACAGCAAGCTAAAAGTTATTCGATGGTTCTAGTCTGTGACGAAGAACGATAAGGTGCTATATTATATATGCATGTATATTCCTTAGCTTAAGATACATCGCGGGAAGCGCTTAATCACGGAGGCAAGACCGTGGATTGTTTTGCTATCCAAATGGCAAGCAGTCAGTCCAGACATGTTTTCATTATAAACTAAGATACAAAATAATCACATAATCATGATTTTGACAGGTCTGAAAGTGACAAAAAAAAAAGGCAAGATTATAATTATAGTAAGACAAAGAAATATACACGATGAAATGAATTGAAGCACTACAAGAAATAGCGTAAACGTGATTTAAAGAGAGTGGAAATAAACTTTGTGAATACAACAGTACTATAGCTAGAAGGACTAGAAAATAATAACACTAATCCTTTTTCGACATTTATAAAATCTTAAAAAGAATAAGAACATTGATTGATACAGCACCATTAAAGAAAACATAGAATTTTGATTATTGACATCAAGGGAAAACCAACGTTCTAACTATAACAATTCTGAGACGTATTCACAAAGAATTTGACCAAACCAACAAATACAAAATCAATATAGGCTACCACCGCTTACAGTGACAGTTATTTGTGTAAAAAACGTTTAAAAAAATCAAAAAGACCATGTATGGGTCATGACAAAATTTCCAACTGAATACTCAAATTCTTCAGCAGTTTAAATCTAAATATGAAGCAAATATAAGTGACAGATGAAAAATTAAAATTGTGTGTCTAGAAAAAAACACTTACTTTGTTTATGTATTTGTATTAATCGAACTATTTTAGTCAATAAGACAAATTTCCTTCGCATATAGAGTTGTAAATCTAATGGAACCATCCATGAAAATGAGTGCGTTTAAATCAAAGTTAGACAAACACTGACATTGGGAAAGTTTCCAACTTGATTATATACTGAAATATTTAGGCCAATACCAGAACGGACGATAAGACACCAGAACCCGAGGTGAGTGATAGTAAGGAACTGAAAAGTTTCCCATATCACAAGGCATTACACGTTTTTATCAAGTAGCACGTGTATGTTCAGGGCTGGGAATCAAAACTGCGTCGTATCCTACAAAATGTAAACAAAGGCCGCCATCTTGGAACGAAAAACGTATGTTTTTGTTAATTACTCTTTTTGATGGAAATGACTGTAAACCAGATATATGTATTAACACGCTACGCTATTTTCCGCTTCGTTCGGTATATGTTGCTTGCACAACTATTTTGTAAAACAAAAGTTATAGCGAACTTGCAACTCGAAGCGGAGCAGAATTTTTATGAAAATGTGTGGATACGACGCAGTTCATATTGCTTTATCAATTGTTTTTTCCTTCAAATAAATTATATACTCATTTCAGAGTTTACCTTAACTTCGAAATATAATTTTGCATCATTTACTAAAATTTCATTTTAAAGAGATGTTCATTTTCTAAGAAAATAATGATTTTTACGAAATGATACGACGCAGTTGAAAATAAAATATGATACGACGCAGTTGTATTTTTGACAGTCTTTTCAACAGGGATAATTTTGGCAATATAGGTCTATTTTATGGAATAATCACTTGCGCTTGATAAACAAAAACCCAGATTATTTTCGGTGTATAGCGATGTTCTGTTGCTTTTGATTATTTAGAATACATTGTGTCATGTTTAATATAACATTTAATTTGAAAGTTAACATTGCGGAAGCTACTTTACTGTTAAACATGAACATGTTACTTAATTTATCATAATTTTTTTTAAATAATTTCTTATATTTTCCTGTATGTTCAATATTATCCCTATTTTTGGCAAAAAATATAGAAGTCTTTGAAGCTGAATTTAATTTGGTTAGCTACGCTCTAAGTAAACTGTGGTTCTGCATGTTCTGGGTTTGAGGTTTGTTTTCAAACTTTCACTCTACACAATAGCTGTACTGGAGGCGAAGACTTCAGGTGCGCCTTTGTGCATTATTTCAGGCAAAATGATGCACCTGCAGAGAACCATCGACATTTTGAAACTAGCCTACGAAAAAATCAAAAAGTCCCTGTTGGTTTTCGACTTCATAGCAGTTCAGTTCAAGTGATTTGAATTCAGTAAACATAAACACCTCAGCTTCGGTCGAACATCTGTCTGATTTTTTTTCAACAGTTTGTTAACGTCAGCTGTACAAATAAGCAGTTTTAGTTTTTCTTATTAACTTCTAGCGTGAAGTTTTAAGATTATAAATATTTGAATTTATTATAAAGACAACAACATTTAACTTTCTTATTGAAATGAAATACAGTAGAATCCCTCCTTAAGACCACCCTAGAATTAAGACCATCCCGCTATTAAGACCATTTTTAAAAAGAACAGAATGATCTGTTCTTTGTATCAATGGTACCATTATCCAGAATTAAGACCACCTCGCTTATCCACTTTTAAGACCACCAGATTCAGTCCCAATTCATTGTTTTATTCTTTATTTGGCCCCACTATTGAGACCACACCAAGTTAACAGCTACCTAATTCTAAAATTTATTGTTATCATCTGCTTGAATGCTCATAGGCATGACACTTGATATCACAAGGTGTGAAAAACTGTTGTTATGTGGGTTATTTTATGAAATAAGGTGATAAAGTAAATTTTAGAGTGGTTTAATATAATGTTGCTTTCAGCGCATTTATTTTGTGAAGAATAAATATCTGATTTGATAGGTGAATTATGTACATATTTTATGATAACTAATATTGAAATCATGCCAAAGAGAATTCAATGTTAATTTCTTCAGAAATATATCTATCTTTCATCAGATTAAATATTATGACATATTGCTAAGATACATATTGTTGGTTCAATGCAACATGAC